GAACTACCACCCTATATCCCTTCTTAACATTGATGTTCTATGCAAAAATTTTGACCAACATGTTGCTTTTGTTGCTTCCCACCTTAATCTCTTAGGCACAGGCTTGTTTTGTCCCAGGTCAAGAGGCACAGGACAACACCACTAAAGCAATGCATCTCCAGCTTTGGGTGAGGTCCACCTGTATCAGAAGCCTTCTCCTATCCTTGGATGCAGAGAAGCCTTTGATAGGGTCACATGGGACTACCTGGAGGTGGTCCTCACGTCCTTGGGCTTCAGGTCATGCTTTTGTAGGTGGATCCTGGCCTTTTATACTAATCCCATGGCGAGGGTTCACAATGGCATGCAACAGGGTTGTCTGCTCTCATCACTGATCTTTATCCTGTCCCTGGAACTGTTTCTTCAATCTATCAATGCCCACCTGGATGTGAGGGGCATTACAGTGGTGGGCAAAGCTTATAAGCTTGCAACGTACGCAGATGACCTTTTGTTCTTCTTGGCAGAACCACATATGTCCATGCCAAATTTGATGCAAGCACTTCAAGATTTTTTGGTTATGTCGAATTTCACTGGCAATTATTCTAAGTAATTTGCTCTTAATTTTGTGTTCCCAGGAGGTAGCCCTATGTAAACAGAATTTCCCTTTTAGCTGGAAGGAATATGCCCTTACATACCTTGGGAAAAAAAATTTTTTCAGATGTTTCACAACTTTTTGCACGTATCTTTACACCGCAACTGCAGCACATTCAACAAGATCTCCAGACATAAGATTTGAAACCATTGTCCTGATTTGGTCGGGCAGATGCCCGAAAACCAATGTCTTTCTCCGATTCTTGTATGTTATGCAAGCAGTGCTGATAGCCTTACCTAGGTCATTCTTTTCTATAATCAGGTGTTTATTTCCGTGCTTCCTCTGGAATAAGCAGAGAGCGCGAATCAGCCTGGTCACATTGTCTCTCCCAAAATCTAAAGGAAGAATTTGGCTGCTGGACTTTCAGAAATATTACTGGACACCTTAATAGGATCTTCAACTGAATCCAACACCATGCTCTTAAAGACTGGGTGGGTTGGGAACCAGCTTTCCTGGCTGTTCTTATATTTATGGTTGGACTCACTTGGCTGGTGATGGCCCATTGCTTGGCTTGAGGACTCTAACACCTTCCTTGGTACCTTGAAGTGGTCCTGCTTTGATATTATGTTAAGATTTTTTTTTTTCTTTTTGTACTTATTTTCTAATAAAAATATTATGGAGCAGGAAAAAAAAAGATGCAGGTGCAGTGCGATTTGAACCATACAAAGCAAATGTGTTTAAATCTGATTATAAATAATCTGTGTCTGAATCACATGTAGTTTCCCACACCACATCAATGTGAACCAGCACTTAAAGACCCTTAATGTACAGAAAAAATCTGTTGGTTTTTGAAAAATTCATTCAGCCTCAAAAACACATAGCGCTTACTGAGTGGTGTCAGCCCTGCCCAATTACATTTTGCTAAACTAAACAGGAGGTGTATACAAGAGACAGGACAGCACTGAATTTCTGGTGTGATGAATATGGCTGAGGTGAAGGTTCAATGTGAACACAAGTTTAAACTGAACTTTGGCTGTTCAAGCCCAAACAATATTTAGACATTGTGAATTGCAAGTAAAAATGAATCCATGTAAAATACCCTCTTATTGTTGAGGGCATATAGCCCGGTATAGTTCAGAAGAGGGATGCACTCTCCTTGATCCTCTTTATCCTGGCCAGTCATCCTGCATTCCTATATAAGGGTTTGTATGGATTTTGAGAGGGTCTCATGCCATTTGTTCCCTAACATCACAGTGAACAATGTACTGAACAACTGGCATAGCCCCCCCCCCCCCCATCAAAAGCTACCTTCATGAATAGGGGTCTGGAATGGACCCCAGGAAAAAAAACAGCATTAGATTTAACCCAAAATTATGATTACAGGTACATATATAGCACTGTCAATGTGCTTTTACATATATATTGTACTGTACATTCACATTAGTCCCTGCCCCAAAAAAAATTACAATCTCAGGTCCATAACTCACATTCATACATTCACATACTATACTATGGCCAATTTAGACAGTATTCAATTAACCTATCAACATGTCAATACATCCTAGCCCCTTATCTAGGCATGCAGCCTTGTTGGGCAGGAAACTTAAATGCAGTGGTGGTGCCCAGTTTGTATAGTCTAATCAGATTTGCTGCATCCAAGCCTGAACGGAGCAGGGGAGACTCACACTGGGTAAAACAAAGGATTTTCGAGAAAGGATAAAAGAGGAGCATTGGGCGAGATAAGACCAAAGAGTATTTTAAGCTTGTCCCAAGAGGCAAGAGAATGTTTCATGACTGGGTTAACAATAATCTTGCTATCTGAGCGTTTCAACCATAAACGTTTTGTGACAGATTTGAGGCTCACCCAAAGGAGAGTCTCATGTACAGAGTGGTAGTTTGGCAATTGGTCCAGAAGAGCTGAATAATAATATTTTGTGAAATTGAGAAGTGCCAGACCATCACAAAGTTTAGATGTTTCCAAGACATGTCTTGAAAGTCAGGGCTCACAGGAACCAAATGAAATGTGAAACTCACTGCAAAAAATGCAAATATTGTGATGGGACTGGGAAGGGAAGGACCTGTAATACTGTAGATAAAGTATTTTTTGGCAAGATTGTAATTTTGACTACCATAATCCTGCCTAGCCAGGAAATAGGCAGGGTGGACCACTGGGTCAACAGGAGGGAGAGGTGGGTCAGCACTGGAAGATAATTTAGACTATAGAGATCACTGGGGTTTGCAGATAGTTTTACAAGGGAGACTGTGCAGAACCCATGAAAATGGCATGGCCAAAATATTCTCATGGAAAAGCTTGTTCATTTTCCTCTTATCAAAAGATATGAGAGTAAGCCATTTAAAATTTTGCATAGATAATATTAATTCACACATGGCTTGTTAAGTACTAAATGGCTCTAGGACAGGAAGTGTGTTACTAACAATATCATCAAGAAGAACTGATGAAGAAAGAGCCTTAAAAAAGAACACTAATGCAACCATCACAACTAGGACTGCTAAGCAACATTGTTTTTTGTTCCTATGCTCAGGTAAAATAGAAACAAATCTTCTGTCAACATTAAAATACTATTGCTATAATGGCCAGAGTCCCATACTGACTATAACCTTTTTAACAGTCTCAAAAGCATCAGTCAATCACTTAGATACACAAGCATAAAGCAAAATAAAATTATGAACTACCTGCAACTCTGTAGCAGTGTAATATTGGGGTTATCTACTGAGAGTTCACTTAACAGGGCAGAACATTAATTATAGTGACACTAGTTTACATAAACAAAATATCAAGCTTTTAAAATATGGTAATAGTGTATTATATATACTGTATTAATAAGCTGTAACTTGATTTGTGATTTTTCAAAGCAGGAATCCAGCTAATATGAATATATATACCAAACTGATGAAGATTAAAGCTGTTTTATGCTTGAATCTTTTGACATTTGGGGGGATTTGTTCATTAGCTTCTCATTCAGAAGTCACTTCTTACAGGCAAACAGTGATAACTCTAAACTGGAAATATTCCATTTAGTGAATGTTGTAAAATGATCTCCTTTTTTCCAGCAATTCTTCCTTCTTGAGTTTCAACAATGCATTATATATATATATATATATATATATATATATATATATATATATATATATATATATATATTGTTGCCCATGTTCCCTGTGTTTGTGAATACACCCCAATTCATGGAGTATTTACATGTACACAGCTAGATCTGAGGGTTCTTACACAAAAGGGTAGTTCCATCTGCAATATACATTTATTGATAGGGTTACATAATATATACAAATTACACACTAAACAGTCTTTACAACACAATGTACAGTTTAAGTCCTTTGACTTCTAGGATATTTACAAATTACCCACAAAGCCATATTTACAATACAATGTACAATACAAGTATGGAGTTAGTATACCTCTCAACTTCCAGTCTGGTCATGCTGCCAGCTGTGTGTCCTAATATACTGCTCCCTAATTGGTCACTGTACCTAGCAAATGTATATTGGGCACAGCCTGATTAGAAGTTCAAAGAAGGCTGCTGTTTACAACTCATGTGAGATGTGATGAAGGGACAACAAAAGACCAGAATGTATATAATGGAGAACTATATACATTTACACGATGGAAGCCAGGAATAGTTTGATGCTGCAAAACACTAAATGGTTTAAATACTGTATATTTCCATCTAACTAAAATATACTTGTAATTATAATATTATTTACATCTGTTAATGGAGATTTCACATAAACTCATTATCTAACAGTCCGCCCCTTGTGGCTAGTGAAAGTAGGCCACACCTAAAATAATGATTCATGTGTAATCTCCTTTAATCACTTGCCTACCGGGCACTTATACCCCCTTCTTTACCAGGCCAATTTTCAGCTTTCAGCACTGTCGCACTTTGATTGACAATAGCGCGGTCATGCAAGATTGTACCCATATGAAATTTATCTTTTCTTCACAAAATAGAGCTTTCTTTTGGTGGTATTTAATCACCGCCGAGCACTTTACTTTTTGCGCTATAAACAAAAAAATTGCAAAACATTTGAAAAAAAAAAAAAGTTTCTTTGTTTCTATTAGAAGATTTTTCAAACAGGTAATTTTTCTCCTTCACTGATGTGCGTTGATGAGGCAGCACTGATGGGCACTAATAGGTGGCACTGATAGGCAGCACTGATAGGCAGCACTGATAGGCAGCACTAAAGAGGTGGCACGGATAGGCAGCACAATGAGGTGTCACAGATAGGCGGCACTGATAGGTGGCACTGATAGGTGGCACTGACTGGCATCACTGCTGGGCACTGACTGGCAGCACTGCTAGGTATTGACTGGTACAACTGCTGGGCACTGACTGGCACAACCGCTGGACACTGACTGGTGGCACTGACTGGCAGCACTGCTGGGCTGCACTGATGGGCACTGGTGGGTGGCACTGGTGGGCACAGGTGGGTGGCACTGCCGGGAACAGGTAGGTGGCACTTCTGGGCACAGGTGTGTGGCACTGCTGGGTGGCACAGGTGGGTGCACTGATGGACACAGGAGGGTGCACTGCTGGGCACAGGTTGGCGCACTGCTGGGCACAGGTGGGCTCACTGCTGGGCACAGGTGGGCGCACTGCTAGGCACAGTTGGGCGGAACTGGTGGGTGGCACTGCTGGGCACTGATCACCAGGGCACTGATCATCAGTGCCCTGATGATCGGTGCCGATCCCTGCTCTGACAATTGCCGGTTCTCGGCAGTACTTTCCTCACGCTCTGACAGCGTGAGGAAAGTGCAGCCGAGAACCGGCAATTGCATTTCCCGGTGATCAGCGTGTCATTGGACACAGCTGATCACGTGGTAAAAGGCCGCTGTGATTGGCCCTTTACCACATCATGTGATGAGCTGTGTCCGTAGGACACAGCAATCACAGAGATCGCCGGGTGCGCGCCCCCGGGGGGCGCGCAGGAGAGCGCGTTCTGGGCGGGCGTCATATGACGCCCTCCCAGAACTGGCCGGCTGCAGTGTAGCCGTCATTTGGGTAGCTGCGGATGGCAAGTAGTTAATATTCCAAATTTTGCTGTTGCCTTCTGAAAGAAAAAAAACTCTTTGAAAAGACTCTTTAAACTTTCCATCTCTAAAATCCGCAATTCTGGATCCCAATATCTGTAGTTCATCACTTGTTTTGGATGTAATAAGTCCATAATAATTATAAGAGACAAAACAAAAAAAAACTTAGGATCTTGATTCTTAACAGTTCCATAATAATAAGTTCATAATGCAGTTTTGATCACGTTGCACTTGCTTTCTGTGAAATCCTTCTATGGTGCAGCGTATTTAGTAGGGGCCTGTGGATTCACTCTCCTGGCTTTCTGGAGGTATACTTATGCTTTATTATTGAGGGCACAAATATAATAAAGTAAAACACAGGTTTCCTGCAGAGTATTTTTAAGATAGATTTATTCAAAGTGATGTTTATCTAGTACTTCTGATTATTATGGATCATTGTTGACAATTACTATAGATGTACTGTGACATACTCATGAGACCCTTTTACATTGCCACATTAATAATTTGGATGGTTATCACCGTCAGCCAGTTTCTCTGGTTTGAAAACACCCTCTGTCTTCATCCATTGTCATAAGCCTACAATTAATGCCCCGCCTTCTGCTGACCACTGTGTGTGCATGACCCTTCAAGTCTCCATTGGGGATCTCGTTGTCATCGCAACACACCTCTAAATACATTTACTGGAATCTGTGTCCAGTTATACAAACCCTGATGGGCTAAAGCCTTGGCTGTTGACAAACATTTGTGCATTGCATTCTGTCCTTGGCTACTGGGTGTAGCTACTGTAGGAGCCATGCCTTTAGCAGGATAAGGAAGAGATCATACCTTTAGCAGGCTAAGGAAGAGTTCCTAGAGCAGAGTAAGCAGTGTCATATAAGCAGACAAAATAACTTAATTTCAGAATACAGAGTAATGTAATGTCACCTGTTACTTGTGCCTTCAGGAATAATCCAACTAAACTACACTTAAGTACAATTGTACTATACTATACCTGCTAATTGCCAATCACTATGAATCTCATCTCAAGTCCCAGTATATCTATTTGATACTCAAGCAATGCCCTTTGAACTTAGTTATGGCAAAAACAACAAACAAACAAAAAGGCCCTATGTGAGGACTGATAGATTCTAGGACTGTAGAGAGGACTTCATGTGAGATGTAGAGCTAGAATGGATACACAACTGTTTCTTAAACTTGGTGTTACTTTTACTGTTGTCATAGTTGGCAAGAGCTAAATGACAATAGGGGAGCTTCACTACATTTATATAAAAAACAGTTATTCACTTTTTCAATGTTGAAAGAGAAATAAAAAATTTTGGAAATTCACTTAAACACAAAATGTTGTAAGGGATCTTTAATATTCTATATCAAACATTAAAACAAAATGTTCTCCATGTGCAATTTCAAAATGTTCTCCCTATAATGTTCTCCATATCCCCCATTTTTTTTTTTATTTCACCATAGCAAAACCAAACAACTTAAAAAGCACTCAAGAAGAAAAATTGTGCTAAATGGATAGACAGAAAAAAAACAACAAAAAAAAGGTACATATTTAATGCCTGATATTTATCCTACACCTTTCTCTTTAATTTGTAAGAGATCATTGAATCTGTATTCAGTCTCCAAAAACAAAATGCAAACTGCATTAAAAAAAAACACATTGCTGTTATACGGTGACTTAGCATAAGCCACTCCTCTTCCTATAGTGAGTAAATTGATCCTGTTTTAAATCAACTTTGCAAGGCAGGGACACAAAAAAAATTAAAACGTAGAGAGAGAGAGAAAAAAAAAACTGTTTATTTTAGAGTTTTAGTTTGTCCCGACTGCCATTAATTGAAGAGATTCAATTCAATGTTGAAAACAAACATACAAATGTTGCTATGCTTTAAGGTTCTCTTTTAAAAGTATTTTGCTTAGTCTGAGTCAGATCTGGATTATCCATCGATGTTCTAGTATTTTTCCTAAAATACAGAACTCAAAAACCATTAATAACACCTCACTCAACCTCTCTGAGAGTTTCCCAATGACTAAACTAGTAGTGAATACTTGGAACTGACTTCCAGCAGAGGTAATGAGACCATTGACAGTAAGTAGTTCTAGAAAAGCTTGGGGACACACATATGTCTATACTCCGACAAAAGGGTCATACAAACAAAAACATTCAAGAAGACCCAAACTCAGTGGGCTTCTAAGTACCTGAATTCTAGAACTACAACATGTAAATCTGTAATCTTTACACATGTTAAAAAGAACATGAGTCCATTTGGAAGAAAAAAAAAAAACATAAACATACTAAATCCACAAAATACCATCAAGTGCAAAATAACATATCATGTATTTTCCCAGTGTCAGAGTGAATTAAAACTTCACTGCGAGCCACAGGAAAGAAAAGGAAAAATAAAATCCCTACATTTTCTGAGAATTATTGTGATTAAGATGTTATATCTATGCACAGGTTCATCAGCAGATAAGATAAAAAAAACATTTTGGTACCGGTACTGAGCTCATTAGAAAGGGGACAGTAAGAGAAAAAAAAATAGTAACTGCATGCGTGTAAATGTGATCACATTTTTTAGTTGATGGCTATGTGTTCACACACCCCTGAAAAAAAAAGTATTCGTTTTACACATATAGATAGCTCATACACATCCAATACATCACAAAGACACACCCATTAATTGAAATCATCAATTGAATCAAATACTTTATGGTGTGATAAAGCTTATGTAATTCCAAGTTAATTACTATGTGTTTCCTGCAAACAGGAGAAGAAAGGAAAGAAGATTGAAAGAAAAAAAATCAGTTGAAACTGGAGTAAGCTTCTATCCTAAGCAATATATATATATATATATATATATATATATATATATATATTTGAATGCATTCTTTAGATTCTTTGGGAAAGATACAAAAAACTACATTGATCATCTCCATGTTTGGATCCCTAACTTTACCTTTGTTAGGAGTGTGTGTATTTATGTATATAGACATCTATATGCATACACCTGTCTTTATATGTAAAACATCTCTTTCATGAGCTCACTGAACCTGAAAAATATAACTTATAAACAAAACTTATTGTTCTTTTCCTTTAATACACAAAGAGTACAAACAGTACAACATTGCTTCATTTACATTGGTATATGGTCACTGACATTCACTCTTTCATCCGATGAAAATAAAATACTCAGACTATAAACATCTAAATCACACATTATATCTGGCTTTTCATCAGCTGTTTCCACATTGCTTGTATTCACGTTTTGTTCACAGTAAGGTGGAGTCCTAGCAGACAACATAGATATGTTGGTGCTTCCTCCTGTATTTTCTGTTTGAATGGGACAGACTGTTTTCTGTGGACTCTTGACCATTTGACCAACATATTTTTTTTGCATTTATTTCTTTCCTGCACTGTTCTCTGTTTTAGGAGTACTAATTGTGGTATTTAATTCAAGCTCCTTTAGAACAGATCTTCTGTGCTGTAATCTTAGATCACATTCCTTTTATCTTTCACTTTTATCTTTGGGGACATTATAATTGTAATGGTGCCTCTTTTTGTTTGAAAAGGTGGCCACTTCTCTTGCATTGTGACTTGCTAAACAGGTATTGTTTGTATTCACAGGATATTCCTTGGGTTTTAATGACTTGGAGCTTCTGAATTCATGGAAAAACATGTGCATACAGTCCATAATGTACGGATATGAGTCTTTAAGGGGATCCATTTAATTTAAAACTTAGGATGGGCATTAGATATTAGAAGGACTTTGTACTCTGGGTCCTCTCTGTGTCCGTTTCTCCCTTTGCCTAAAAGATAGGCTGACCATAGCCTGTTTGCGTAACGAAATGTGTTCTCATTATTTTCCTGCTTTGTTCTACAAGCTGCTTTTAAGTCTATGTCAGAGGGATATAATACTTTTACCAATTCATCTACAGTTTCACTTAATTTGTCCTTCCTTCTTTAACATGGTCTGGTAAGGAAACCCATGTGTCCAATTCAACTGTTAAAAGTAAGACTTTAATCTGGTCACTTGAGTTGGTAACTCCTATTAATTTACATAGTTGCAAGACATTGCATGAAATGCTATGTGCACTCCTGGCAATAGTTTGCCAATATTATTAGCTACTAGTAGTACATTTTCTAAAGATTGTATGTGCTCACTAGCCATCTTTTGTGCTACGCTGTCAATTCCTGTTGATCTGTATGCGCGCCCTTCATCAAATGCAAGCAAAATCTTACAAAAAAACCCCTGTATCTTTGTGCGTAGAAATATTGGGCAACTGCTCTTTTCCTCTCATTCTCATGGACCTGGACTCCTCATGTACAAATTCTATTATAGTTAGCTTTTGAAATATACAACTAATGTTGTGTTCCTTGATATGTTAACAGTAGGTTCCCAACTGATTACAAAGTGCACCATACAGCTATTTGTTACAGGCCATTTCTGTATCAAGCATATAGAGCACCCAATGTTCATTCTTAGCATTCAAACGAAAACCTTTCATCAGTGTGCTTTTGTAGATATTGCAACCCCTTAAAATATTGCTGAAAGAGACCACCAAATTTGAGTCCCTTCGTGGTCACCACCTGTTGCCTATGTTCCGTGTGTTTGTGAATATACCCCAATCCTTGTAGAAGTATTTACATGTACACAGCTAGATCTGAGAGTTCTTACACAAAAGGGGTAGTTCCATCTGCAATATACATTTATTGATAGAGTTACATAATATATACAAATTACACACTAAAC